GTGTGAGCTCAGGGTGTCAGGCAGAAGCTGCAACTCTCTTCTTCTCAGGACAATAGGCGCTGCAGGGGAAAGCAGCCCAGCTCTGGCTGCAGCATCCAGGCCTACCTTACTGGGGCCTTGAGAAACATGAACCAAATCTCTGCATCATTCCTTTATGCACTAAATAGAATTGAAGAGCAGATCCAACAGCAAATGGTGTGCTTGCCCTGGTTTAGGATGTAGCAGGTAGTCACCAATGCAGAAAATCCACTGGGACCTGGTTCTTTCTAAAGGCCACTGGGAGGGGACAATGGGGACGAAGAGGCTCACTGTCTTCTAGGGTACAAGAGCATAGACAGTACCAAGGCTACAGAGAATGTGGCAGAGTGGATAGGCTGGCAATAAAACACACAAGATCGTGTACCCTGTACAGTTCATAGACGTCCGGAGGAGAATCACACAGTTTAAGGAGGACACTAAAGGAGGGCCTGATTTGGGCTCTTTTAAGTGTTGCTTTGAGGGAGAACACAGATTCATTTCCGTTCAGAGCCAGAGTCTCTGGACCGTGACCTCAAAGAGAGAGAGAAACTGGCCTCTGATAGAAAGAGAGCCTCACTGGCTTTATCATTTTCTTTCTTTAATCAAGCACTCTTTTTTCTTAAGCCAAGGCATGGGGCCCACGGTTCATGACAGCTGGAGGAGGCTTGCTGGGGCTGCTGCTCGGCTTTACTCTCATTTCGCCTCTCTCTGTTAGTCAAGTGCCAATTTACTGCCTGACTGCTTGGCTGCGTAGACTGCGAGAGCTGTTTTCTCACTGAGATTTTTAATGTTTTTCTTTTAATTGTCTATACCTCCCCACAGCCTTTCCTTGGGGGAAGTCACAAGGGTGGCAGGGTGGACCTGGGAGGGCTGGGAAGTGAATGTGATTGGGGTGCATTATGTGAAATTTCCAAATAATCAATAAAAATATTATGGTACACATGTGTTTATTATTCACTCCTCCATCTCTCTCTCTCTCTCTCTCTCTCTCTCTCTCTCTCTCTCTGTGTGTGTGTGTGTGTGTGTGTGTGTGTGTGTGTGTAGTCAGAGGTCAATATTGGTCCTCAATCTCTATATTATTGAGTCAGACTCTCTCACTAAACCTAGAGCTCAGATATAGAGTTAGATTAGCTGGCCTGAAAGCCCCTAGGATCCCTGTTTTTGTCCCTTCATCACTAATGTTATGGAAGTGTGCTATTGTGGTTGGCTTTCACGTAGGTGCTGGGGATCTGAACTCAGGTCTGTATGTTTGAACAAGAGGCACTTTACCCACCCAGCCATCTCCCCAGTCCCTGAATGCTCATTTTAAATTGCTTTTCTCCCATGACCCTAGAGACAATGCAACACATGAAAAAAAATATATATGGGCTCTGGAGTCAGGAGTTTTAGGGTTCACATCCCAATCTAACTTTGCCTGTAACCAGGTGTATGATCTTGGGTAAGTCACGGGACCTCAATACATTGATAAAGATGTGCTCAGGGGACTTGGGACAGAGCCAACACATCATGAAGAGGTGCTCCGCCCTCCTCGCATACCCCCTGTACGAGCAAGGCTTGAGGATCTCCTATGTGTGACACACTATAAATGGGTTTCCCTCCCACTGCAGCAAGGGGACACAAGAGGATGCTGGCCAGTCACTCCTTCATGGAAGGAGGCAAGAAGACAACACTGGTGAGGCAGGCATTTTAAATTGCCTTTCTCCCAAACAAGGCATCAAGACTGACAGGAAAGAAGCTAATGGGAGAGGAAGATGGGAGAGCCCTCCTCGTGTGGCTTCATATAATGAAACAATAGCTGTATGGGAAATGGGTCCAGGGTCTGCAAGCATCAAAGAGGGTGGATGCTGTGTGGATGACTTGCGAAGATGGAGAGTAAAGACTCATGAGATGGGTGGCCCCTGAGCTTTGGGCTTTTCCCAGCTCTCTGAATTACTTCCTTCTCTTCAGCTCCTCTCTTTCTCAGTAAATGGTCGCTAGGTCTACCAATATCCATGTGTCCCTGGTCTAATGCTTTGTTCCATGACACAAGAGCCCGGTCATCTCAGAGGGTGCCCCTGACTCTGAATCACGCCTCTCAGGCTGGCACTTAAGTGTCGGCAGAGAGCTGTGTGACTTGTGACTAGGCTTCTCAAGGACTCTTGCAGACAATTCTTGGTATGTTGGAGCAAGGAGAGCCTTCACGCAGCCTCTAGAATTATTTTCTGATAGTGTCCCTTCTGTGGCTTTTCATCTTTACTCTCAAGTCATAACTGTGAGTGAAGTTTTTCACCTTGACCCATCTTTACCCATTAGGGAGATGCAATAGCATGAATCAATTTCAAAGTTTTTGAACAAATAGCCATAAATATTTCAATCTTTGCTTTGCCTATTAGGGAAAATGCCATCTAAGATAATTATTTCCCTTCTTCCTGACAGGAGGATTTACACAGACGGTAGGATTAGTTTAACCTTTGAGCAAATTCTGAAACCTTGAACTCAATTGGTTTTTCCCAAAACACTAAATATTCTTGGAGCTATGTATGTCAGATGTGTAGAGGCTCGGAGGAGACCCCGTGAGACAACTGATTTTTCCTGGGCTTCATTGGCTATGTTTTCAGTGAGAGTCAACCGGTCAGTGAGAGAAAGCTGGACATAGCTTGTGGCTCCAAGGATGTCTCCTCTCCTGAGCTGTCAGCACTAAAGGGCGGAGACCCTAGAAGTATCACGCTTAGCACAGTGAGTTTCTAGTGTGAGCCAGAGCTGGGCCTGATGGCCCATGCCTGAACTCACAGCATAGGGCAGGGGAGGGGATAAGGAAACCAATGCTGGGCATGGTGGCCCTGCCTGTAAACACATCACGGGGCCAGGAGAGGGTAAGCAGTAGGTAGCCTGGGTGTTCTACACAAAAAAGCAGCTTCGGGGAGAAAGGACTTATTTTAGCAGAGTTCCAGGTTCCAGTCTGATACTGTTGGGAAGTGGAGGCAGCAGGAGCTTGAAACAGAGCCATGTCCATGGTGAACAGCAGAGAATGGATGCATGCATGTCTAGTGCTTGGCTTGTCTTCTCCACTCTCATATAGCTCAGGACCCAAACCTAGAGAACAGGACACCTACCATGGATTGGGTCTTTCCATGTCAAACAATGTAACCAAGATAAACTTCCATGGGCGTGCCCACAGCACAGCCAGGGGTAGACAATCCCTGACTGAGAAGCTCTTCCTAGGGCAGTGGTTCTCCACCTGTGGGTCACGACCCCCAGCAGGAGCCACTTATCAGATATTCTGTGTATCAGATATTCACATTCCAGTTCATAACACTATCAAAATTACAGTTCTGAAGTAACCACGAAATAATGTTATGGTTAGAGGTCCCCACAAGATGAGGAACTGTATTACAGGGTTGCAGCATTAGGAAGGTTGAGAACTGCAGTACTGGGGGGTTTTAGATTTGTGAAGCTGACACTGGATTATGCAGCAGGACCCTGTCCCAAGGAAAGGGATAAGAATGCAGTCTGTGCACATGAGCTACTTGCTCAGTGTGAGTGCTGTAGACATCATGGGGACATTTTGAACATGGGGTTGGTGCCTAATTCTAGCATTTTGATGTGGGATAATGTTTTTGATCACTGTAAAGATTTGTCACTTGTATTGGTTTAATAAAATGCTGACTGGCCAGTAGTTGGGCAGGAAGTATAGGTGGGGCTACCAGACTGGGAGAATTCTGGGAAGAAGAAGGCAGAGATAGAGTTGCCAGCCACATGCAGAGGAAGAAAGATGAGAATGCCTTGCTGAGAAAAGGTGCCAAGCCACATGGCTAAACATAGATTAAAAATTATGGGTTAATTTAAGTTGTAAGAGTTTGTTAGTAATAAGCCTGAGCAACAGGCCAAACAATTTATAATTAATATAAGGCCCTGTGTGTTTATTTGGGACTGAACGGTGGCAGGACAGAATGGGACAGAAACTCAGTCTCCAGAATTTCTTAGCAATTTAGCGTTAGACATATTTCTTTGGCCTTAGCCACTTGATGTGAAGGAAGGCCTAATGATAACTTCTCTTTCCGAGTGCCTAGTGCACGCTAGGCCACATGCAGTGGTTGCTGCTCATCAGAGAACTGAAGAATGGAGACTTCAGAAACCAGGGTACCCACAGGATGTGCACATCATTCTCTGTGTACAAAGAGTCCCTGAAGTATGGCACTGGGATGCCTGGGGTGTGCTTAAGTGTGTTTGCTAGTTGAAAGTGTCCTCAGAACGACTATGTGCAACTGAAGGTCTTCCCCAAAGATGACCAGGTTCGAATCTTCAGAACCTGTGGATGTAATCTTCCACAGTAAAGACTTTCCAGATGCAGCTTGAGGTCTAGAGATGTGGAGACCAATATAGACTATCGGAGGGTATGATAATCACAGGAGCTGTTTCGGGAAGAAGAGGGTTGGAGTTGGAAAAGTCACAGCAGTCAGAAGACGCTGTTGTTGCATAGAAGGTGGAAGAAAACACTATGAGCTCAGGCATAGCAGAAGCTTCTACAAGCCAGGGCTCTGGCCCCTACTACGTTCACAAACCATGGAACCAACCATGCTTTTTTTTTAAACCCCATCAACTGCATCTTCCTAGATTAGAATATGAACACCATGTAGTCAGAGTCCTCATCACTCCAAGGATGTCAAGAACCAAGATGGTGACTAACTTCTTACTCGACATTTCCAGGCAGATTGTATAGGCAAGCAAATTTCCCCAATTCCAATGTCTCTGAAATTACTATGACCACAGGCATACAAGGTAAACATTTTATCATGCAACCATCTCACAGGCACACAGAACAAAACCAGAAGTTCCATGAAATAGGACACAGCTTTGCTACATGAGATGGGCAGGTCTGTTTCTTTTCCCTATTTAAGTAGCATTTGTCTACTTTAGTTTACTCTGTGGTCGTGACCCACACATGACCTTGAATTCTTTGGAGGGCGTGTGTTAGTAGATTGAAAATACCTGGGGACCCTTACCTCTGGGGCAATGTAGTCGGGAGTCCCACAGAAGGTCCTGGTGGTGACTCCATCCATCATGTGTTCCTTGCACATTCCAAAATCAGCGATTTTGATATGTCCTTCTGAATCCAGCATGACATTGTCCAGCTTCAGATCCCTGCAAGGAAGCAGGTGACTGTCAGGGGCCTTCCCATGACATGACTTGATTCACTTGCAGCTGGTGAAAATGAAGGATCTTTGCCTAGCTGCCATCTCAGTGGCACTTGCCTGGAAAGTCCCTGGAGACCGTCCACCAAGGAATTACTGTGTCTTTCTTCCTCCAGAGCCTGGGACACTGGAGGTATTTAAATGTCAAGTGACTGATAAGTGGTTGAATTCCTGATTCCCAATCATGTCTGCGGCTACAAATCCAGGGATTCCAAATGGTCAGGTTTGGGGAGATTGCAGGCACTTGATTTGTTAATATCCTACACAGAAGTGGGGACACACGCATATTTAGGTACCACAAATGACAGCTTTAGAGCTACTGCCATGTAGCTCTGTCTTCCGTATCTCCCCTATTCTGCCTGAGCCAATGTTTTCTTAATTATTCAAGACACTTTCTTTTTTTGGTACCACATTTTCGCTACAACCCCAAAGCATTTAATTCAGCATCCCTGCTTCCCTCTCTCCCTAGCTTCCCATGTTCTCCTGCTGACTGGCTAGAATGGCAATGCAGCTCCTGCTGCTCTCTGTCCTCCATCCAAATAAAAGGCAGAGGAAGGTGCTGTCAGCAGAGCAGAGGACGTGATGAGCAGGAAGGAGACATGCAACATCTCTGAGCCCAGAAATCACAGAGTGGCTCTGGTTTGCCCCGAGGCTGCAGGGGCAGATGAGTCTCAGCAAGTTTGCATTCCTGAGGAGCCGTTGACTCCACATCCCAAGTCCCCATAACAGAATCAGTCCCCTGCCCACAGAGGTTCCCCAAACCCCTCTACCGCCCTGCTACAGGAAGAGCTCCGAGACACACCTGTAAATGATTCCTCTTTTGTGGAGAAAGAACAGTCCAATGGAGATCTCTGCTGCGTAGAATCTACAGAAGAAAGTATACTTCAGACATCTGGGTTTGGGGCTTTCTGATACCTTCTATGGCTTAAGTTTGGTCATCAGAAAGATATGACTAAAACACACACACACACACACACACACACACACACACACACACACACACACACAGAGAGAGAGAGAGAGAGAGAGAGAGAGAGAGAGAGAGAGGGAGGTAGGTCACCCTGAGCATGTACTTTCCACAGCTGGCTCTGCCTGTCTCTCCATCATCACTCCAATGAGAAAGACTTATTTTCCTTGTCTGTGGAAAGTGAGCAGCTCATTTATTCCCCCACACAATCATTTCTGGTATGACAATTCAAGGAGCGAATACTTGTGTGACTCTCTTGTGTCAGGAGTGTGGCAGAGTGGGGGAAAGTTTCGATTCTTCGACACATGGATGAAGTAGATTTCTGTATTGGTGTCTGAGAAGGCAACCACTCCCAGAAGACAAAGCCTAGGGTTGCCGAGTTCTCTAGCTACTTTATTCATTTGCTGAAGTGCCGGGTGGAATAAATGGGCCACGCGCCATGATTCATGCCTGAGTTTGCCCTTTTAAATAATTCATAACAAAAACAGTCATTACCATCACTTCAAAATCATTAATAGGTTAATATCTGGAACACAGATTAAATGCAGAACAATGTTTTAAAATTTGCATAGCACTGGGGAGCCTTCGAAGTCCACAGAGCCACAAGTCCGTGCCTGGGTAAATACACCCGGAGGGTTAAAATAAGCACAGTAGCTGCAGAGTGAAGACAAGCTGAAGACCAAGTTCTTAGTGGGGCTGCCTCTAGGGGCTGGCAGGGGAGGCAGGGATGGGGGGGAGAGGAGAGAGAGGATCACAGGTTGATTTTTGTGTTATTTTTCACATTTCCTATATTTTTTTAACTTTCTGTAGCATAAGCAGAATGGAAAGTATCAGACAGGGTGCCATCCAGGGACTTGGTGACATAAGGTGGCTGTCCTGCTACCTCTACTTTTCTGGCTCTGGGCTTTCAAGTTTTATTTTACAATGTGAGCATCTTAAAGCTCTGTGATGTACAATGAGGGGATAAGGGCAGGTGTAAAAATGCATTTGCTTCTTAGTAGAAGTAAAAGCAGAAAAAGCCCCCTTGATGGTTTCTAAAGCTTGCGATTAAAGAGCTCCTTGTCTGCCTGCAGTTAATCTTTCTAGAGCAGATTATCCCTCACAGGCCTGGATTCCTCTGTTTCAGATCACAACGGGCCCCAAACCCACCCCCATTTGCTGACTAATGGGTCAGGCCCACTCCACTGTGCCTCAGAGTCTAGGTATAGAAACCAGCTCTCTGCTCAGTTTGCTGCTGTTCAAGTGACAGACTCCCTGGATGTGAGACCTGGAGGTGGTACAGGAGTCCCCTCCCCCTCCCCGTGGGTGACTCCTCCACTTCCACCTGGGACCTATTTCTCTGCTCCTGCATTCCCATAGGCAAGGAGCATCCCTGCGTGATGTTGCAAGATAAGCTTCTGATTGGTCCCTTGGGACCCTTCCTCCTTGGTAGCTGCCGTCACCCCAGCCTGAGGACATCACTTAAAGGGTTTCCTTCTCTTGCCCAAGCCAACAACTTTTGCTTTTCTTCTAGAATGTTCATTAAAGATAAAGGCTTAATTCCAGCTCTGATTCTTCTTCCCTGCAGGTTCCCACAGGTCCCCCTGCACCAGCCCCGTCATCTTTCCTTCTTCCCTCCATCAGTGGGCTCTGTGAGACCTTCCATGGGATCAAGCCCTTCCCTCTGCCACCTTTCTCAGCGACCCTCCCAGCAGGCTCTGCATCCATCCACCTAGCCCCTTCCCACCTCACATCACCTGAGCTGCAGGCCCCTCCCTGACTTGACTCCCATCTCTTCTCATCCTTTCCTTGGAAGGCGCCCCTGGCCTCTGGGTTGAGTGTTCCCCAGTTAATGCTGCTCCCACTCTCCAATTCCGGGGTATTAGTGGTAGCCTCTGTATGTGTGTACAGTTTCAGCGATGTGTTAAAATAGTTGGATGGCTTTTCCAAATGGCACCATAGGGTGTGGACTCCCCAAGGGTGGGGCCTCACATGCCTTTTATACTCTTGCTGGATGCATAGTGAGTGCAAATTTCCATCCACTCAATGAATGGTGAAGTAGTCAATCTATAGGGGTGTTAGTGGGTGACAGAGAGGGAGGGCACCAACATGCCCAATTTGCTGAGAATAGAATCGACTAGTCCTTAGAAAATCTGTTATTCATGGGTCCTTTCTGTGCATCTGCTACTCGGGGAAGTTTCAATGCTTACATTCAAGTGAGTAGAGTCACCCTGGACATTTTATCCAGAAGGAGTTCCCAGTTGGGAGTATTAGGCTATCTGTATTACAGGATTCAAACAAAACAAAACAAGACAAAACAAACCAACAACAAAAAGACCAACCCACAATATTAATAAAGATAAAAAAAAAGTACTCACACTGCTTGGGGCTCCTTAAATTTCCCTACTTGCTGAATGTGGTACATGAGGTCCCCACCGTTGACATATTCCATGACGAAGTATAGCCGGTCCTGTAGACCAAGGTTCACACATGAGTGGTGAGTGGGGCTCCTCCCTCATGAGCAAATACGGGGTGGCACTGGCAGATCTGCTCTTCTGGGCACTCTTCCCAGTCTTTTCCCGGTGATGCTGGGGGATACACAACTCACCCTATGGCATGGGGCCCTGGGAAAGGTAATGCCCTGTAACAATCCTATGGCTGTGGGTGATGGCTGTCTGAGAACACGCCTGCTTCCTGGCTTCATATGAGCTTTATTACCATAAGGGCTTCATTCACCCCCATCCCCCCTGTACAGATGATATATCACTAAGCTGGTGGTGGTGCGGAGATTCCACATGGGCCCATCATTTTATCTTAACCTCTGTTATCGATGGTGCACATGTGTAAAATCTGGCTTGTGACATCTAGGAGGTATGCCATGCTAATATAGTAACAAGCTTAAATGGATGCTTCTGAAAATATATCTCTTGGGTTAGGTTGAACTCATAAATTATACAAACTTAATGATATTTAGTGGCGGGGGAGGGGAGCACCATAAATGGAAATTTTAATCAATGTTCTTTTGCCTCCATAATGTGTTCCAATATTGCCTTTTTATAAAAATTTTCTCTGTCACTGGTATGCTAAGTGCTGGTCCCATGGAGGGCATAAATCAGGGAGCCAAGTACGTCTGCATATTTATGAGGACATTATGCTGGGACAGATGCGTGAGAGCAGGGAATTTAATGAGGAAATAACCAAGAGCACAACAGAGCACCATAAAAGCTGACCTCTGCTCGAGTCTAGAAAACTCCCCACTTTTGCAGAGGTTACTAAGCATGAAACTGCAGCTTGGGGGAAGGAGAGATGAGGGAGCTGGTGCTGGCGGCCGTGAGTGGCTTCGGAGCTCCACTCTATCTTTAATGACATCTTCATTGCTTTGCAACTTTCCAGGGCTGCACTAGTGTCTGCGGGGTCACAAAGCAGGGTTGAGATTCAGTTCTCTCTCCTACTTGCCACTATCTCTCTGGCACTCCAGGAGAGCTGGAGCAGTAATATTTTCTCAGTTTCAGTGAGTGGTCTCAGTGTGTGTGTGTGTGTGTGTGTGTGTGTGTGTGTGTGTGTGTGTGTGTGGTGTAGCAGCGGGGACACTGGGGCAGGAGCTGACCAGTGTGAGGCTGACACACAGTGGCCAATGCTGGCTCTGCAGCCTCCACACAAGCAGTGCCCACAGGGATGTCCCATTTTGAGACTCTGCCCATCCAAAGGCATTTAAGGTGTTTTCTAAGATTTTAAAAGGGGAACATAATCATGGATCCATTTCTGACTATAGGGCAGCTATAAAGAAGATGACAGATAATGACAGCTATTGGAGGAGTGAGACCTGACAACTGTACCTCATTTAAAAGGGGGCTTGGAGGTGGAGAACACCTGTCACATTGTGGTATGCATTTATTTGTTTGTTTACTTATTGAGACAGGCTTCTCTGTGTAACGGTCTTGGCTGTCCTAGAACTCACTTTGTAGACCAGGCTGGCCTTGAATACTGGCCAAGATACTCCATTTCCTAAGGAGCATGTCCCTGTATAATGAATGACACAGCAGGAGTAGCAAGCTATGCCCTGTCCTGCAGCCCATGAGCTGTAAAAAAAAGTCACAAGAAATAATATTTTCTGGCATGTGAAACTCAGACTTTAGTGTTCTAAGGACAAAGCCACGTCTGTCCACTTCCCTGTCACCTGCAGCCACATCCCCACTGTGATGAGGAGTTACAAGATGAGTTACAGTAGACATGCAAAACCTATATCTACTCTCTGACCCTTTTCAGGGGAAAAAAAGTCCTCATAAATGGCCCTAATAACACTGTGACCTTTGTCACAGAGTAAAATTAAAAAGAAAAAAAGTTCATATTACAAAGGCACTGTAGGGCTTTCCATCTACCACAGAAACATACACATTAAGATATACCACAATGAAGCCAGGCGTTGGTGGTGCACTCCTTTAATCCCAGCACTCGGC